GGTGAACTATAAACCTTCCCATATTATTAGTGCATAAACACGAACATCAAGTAGCAGGAGATGAGGCTAAAACAGAGGGCACAAGGACTTTCTTTGCAAAAGTGGTGCAGGCAGTGAGAATCCCAGAAGCATTTTAGGTAGATCAGACAAGTTGGCTCAAGGGATTAGAAACAGATGAGGGATGGGGACTCAAAAAGGGTGGCAGTAGTATAGACTCAATAAGTACTGAATTTCTACTACATGTCAGGTGTAAGATCCCTGACCTCACAGCACTTGCAGTCTACAAATGGACAGGAGAATATATATTCAAGGAGTAGATAGTTATCAGATAAAACTCAGCAAAACTAATAGTCAGCCTTCAGTCATATATTTTTTCAGCATTTGATATAATAGACACTTATGTTTTCTTGAGACATTCTTTGACTTTTGGCACACCACTCTGAGTTCTTTCCTTCTACCCATTTCACTGGTTACTATAATTCTTGTTTCCTTTTGCAGATTCCTCCTCAGCTCCCTATTCCACCTACTAAACTGCCCTAAGACTCCTTGGTTCTCTATATGCTTTTCAATTTATCTATTTGTTGATGATCCCCACATTTCTATTTCCAGCTAATTTCTCCTCTTGAACTCACATATAAAACTATCTACTTGAAATTGAATAAAAAAGTCAAGTAGATGGCTCAAATTAAATTTTCCAAAAACCAAATCCCTAATACTACCCTTCTAAACTGGCTCTTTGTAGTCTTGCCCATCTCAGTAATTGGTAAACCTAGTCTTCCAGTAAGATAATTAAAAAACCTTACAGCCAACTTCTTTCTCTCTTTTATCATCTTTAATGCTATCACCCTACGTCACAATACTGTTACTAAAATTAATGCAATAGTCCAATATGTGGTCTCTTTGTTTCTCTCCCCGCCTATGCCATCATCATCAAGTCCATAGCAGCCACACTGAAACTTTAAAAATGGCAAATTAAATCACTCATCTATTCAAAACCACCAATAGCAGTAAAAACCACCATGTCCTTCCTATAGTTTGCATGGCCTATATGATATGCCCCCTTCACTACCCTCCTGCCCTTATCTTCTTCTACTCACCCCCTCTCGCTCTGCTCTGGTCATACTGGTCCCTGCTGTTCTTTGACAAGGCAAGCAGTTCTTGCTTGAAGGCCTTTGCCCTGGCTGTTCTTTTGGTTGTGAATTTTCTTCCCAGACATCTACGTAGTTCACTCCTACAACTTATTCAGATTGGTGTTCCAATGTCACCTAATTAGAAAGGCCTTCTGTGATCAAGGAATTACCTTCCTTCCTTCTTGTACTGTTTTATTTGTAATCATGTCAATAACTGAAGCTGATATACATATACTTATTCTGTCTCCATTTAGGATGATCCATGAAGGTAGGGACTTTATATATTTACCACTTAGAACAATGTATTTATTATTACTAAAAAGTATTTGAGTGAATAATGGTGGCATGTCAAAGTACTAATATCAAATATCAGAAATTTATCTAAGGGCCTCACACATGCTACTAAGGAAACTAAAGTGGTGAAAATTTTGACACTCTTACATCCACATCTACCTACCTACCAACATCTGCACTTATATTCTTTGTGTCCCTGTCTGGTCTGTCATTAGTTACCTAAATTCAACCCTTTTACTTTTGCATCAGTTCCTATCCTTTTAATACACTTGAGAATATTGTTCTAATAATTCAGTTGTTCTTTGTTTCTCTCACCTTTCTATGTTCATTTCCATCAGCAAATCAACTGTCTTGGGGGAAAATAAAAAACCCAAACCAAACAAACCTAACTTACTTCCCCTACCAGTTACTCTATTTCTCTACTTCCCCTTTACTGGAAAACTCCTTAGAGTTATCTGTACTCACTAACTCCCATTTCTTTTATTCTCCTTTTCTCCTCAGCTCATAGCCAGCAGACTTTTGTCTCTGGCACTCTAATGAAACAGATGGTGAAGGTTATCACTGGCATTGCTAATCCTCAATCCTCACAGGATTAGAGCATTTGACACAGCTGATTACTCCCTCCTTGATATTAAAGGACCTTTGTTTGGCTTCTGGGACACCAGTTTATGGATTGTCATGTTAACTCACTGGTTTACCCTTCTTGTTTGTTGGTTGATCCTCTTCTCCCTGAATTTTTAATGTGACAAGACACAATTTTCCATTTCTGCTTACTATCTACACCTATTCCTTAGTAATATCTTTTGTTTTTATGGTTTTAAATACCACTTCTGATCATTCCCAAACATACCTACCAGCATAAAAACTTCTCGCCAGTGGATTTAGGTGCATACTCAACACATCAACTTGTCTTTCCCATCTCATAACTCCTTAGTTTTATGGTCTTAAGACAAAACCTGTGAAACGTTCCATATCCAAATCCTCAAAAATCCACGAAGCTTTATCTTAAAAATGCATTAAAAAATCAAACTATTTCTTACCATCTCCACTATTATCACCCTGATCTGAGCCACTATTATAGTCATTTGGATCTCTGATTCCCTGCACTCTACTCCTAACTCATAGGTAGATGATGTTTTAAAAATACCAGTTAGAATATGTCTCTTTTCTTTTTTTACATATATATTTATTTTAGTTGTAAATGGACCTTCATTTTATTTATATGTGGTGCTGAAACTCGAACCCATGCTAGGCAAGTGCTCTACCACTGATCCACAACCCCAGCCACACATGTCTCTTTTCTATTAAAGACCTCCCACAGCTTCCAAGGGCCCTTACAATAATTTGGTTATCTATTATCTCCCAGCCTTTATCAACTACTCATCTCCACCTTGTTTATCCCTCTCCAAACAATAGCTTCATTTCAATTCCTTGAGCATGACAGGTATGTTCCTGAAAGCATCTTTGATGGCTGCTCTTTCTGCCTAGAATACTCTTCCCTACATAGACACTTGGCCAATTCTCTCCAAACTCCTCGACTTCTCTCAAAAAGCACCTACTCAATAAAGCCGAAACTGACCATCATACTTAAAAGACTAATTCCCAAAGGCATTCTAGAACTTTCCTCAGACCCTTTCTTGCTCAATTTTCATGACCTTCTGAAAGTTTAAATTAATATTACTCAATGCATATTCACTTTCTGCATCCAACGGTATGTAAATTTCATCAGGGCACAGATTTTTGTTTTGTTCACTGAAGTAAACTGGGCATCTTGAATAGTATCTGACATATTATGGGAGCCAAATAAAATATATGTTCAATAAATAAAAGAAAGTAAACTTCAGTAAATATAACGTGTGAAGGGAAAAAGTCCCAAAAGGAGATAAAAATTTACAAACTATGAGTACAGAATTTGTGTCACACCCCATTTTACGGCTGAGAATTAACTAGAAAACAATTATCAAGTGTTTAAGCATTTGTTAAATTATTTGTTTTAATGATCTTAGATTCTAAAAATTCCTTAGTGTTCAAATCCTTGAAATGTGGTATGAGCTACAGAAATTTAGTACTCCCTTCTCATTTTGTAGTTTAGAAAATTAGAAGTCTTCAAATTCGAGCAATCAGTTTGAGACCTTCTTGACTAAACCATCCAGTTAAAATTGGTTCCTTTGTCAGAGTTCGCAAGAGGAAAGTTGGAAGGCAGACCTCACGCGACGAAGCACAGTAAGGAGACTCTTAAAGAATGCTTCTCGAAATTCAGCAAAACCCATAGCCGCTGACCTGGACGCTGTAAGACTTAACTCAGTCGGCTAAAAACAGGGTGCTGAGCTGACCACCACCCCAGGTCCGTTTAGCTGGCATCAAGGTGGGGCTGGCGTGCCGCCGCCTCTCCCTCTTCTCTGGCACCAGCCGCGGAGTTAGTAAGGAGCCGCTCCGGGCCCCGGGAACCAAGAACCCTCCAAATGACCCTTGGAGACCACCCAACCAACCGTAGCCTGTTGTGGGGGCGACAGAGGGCGCGGCTCAGGCTTCCCGCGCTAACCCAACCCAGCCCACCCACTACCTGCGGGCAAGGCGCTTCCAGCTGGGGAACGCACAGAAGCGGCGCCGCCAGAAGCCTGGCTGGAGGTGCCCACCGCGCTGACCACCTCTTCAGACGCCGCAGAAACCACAGAGCTGGGCCGACGACCCGGAAGCGATCGCGGAGACGGAAGTGACATCGGGCGCTAGGACCGCCCACCCCGGCTCAGCGCGCCGCTCAAACTTTGCGAAATGATGGGAGTACTGAGAAAATTAGGGCTGGGCTTTCAAACCCTGCAGCGGCGGTGAATCTACCATTTGAACAGTTCACCAGGTGTACTAATTCGTTCATAATTTTTAAAGAAGAATCTCCACTATTAGATGCGATATTTAAAAAATGTAGGGCACTTCCATTTTATGTCTGGGTTATGTTCAGTGTAATACTGTTGAAGACTTTGAAATACTAAATTGGAGACTAATTCTGAAGATTATAGCAGGGCGCCTTTTAACCATTCAATATAGGGCGGCAATTAATCTAAACCGGCAAGATTTTAGTTTGTGATTAAGAGTTTTAATTTGGGAGACACTATTTAAATTTTATGACTAATATGCATGTCAAATACTCCAAAATTTCAAGTCCTCATAATAATACCAAATTCCTTTAGGTGTTCATCAGGGCGTATCAAATCCTAATTGCATTAAGCTTAGCAGTTATGTGCACAGCAAATTGCCACTAAGTGGCTGAGTTGATGAAGGAGATAAAGTTCAAAAACAAGCGCGACCAACTGGAACCTCTGAACAGGTTTATTATTTATTGTTTTTATTTATGCCATTTTCATTCCCAGAACAAAGCTGTTCTGTCTCATCTTTGTATTCCCTATTAATTAAAGTAATTCTAAATGATCAAACGCAAAATTTAATTATAGTTTAAATGTTAAAGCTGGTTGAATTTTTCACTCCCCAAAGTAGGAAGTATCCAGACTACATAAAGAAGAGTATCTGAAAATTAGATATTTAAGTAAAAAAAATGGTAGCATAATGAAAGAGAAAAACAAATGCAGTCATTCCAATTAATTTATTTAAATTCATGCATGTTGCAAAAATATGTGCAACAGATCAGGACACAAGTTGTTGTACTCCTAACAAGTCAAAGGGAAAAAAAAAATTACATCTTCTTAGCAAATCATGACCAACTGAGTTATTTCTCACCTGAAACACATCAACAATTTGCACATACACCTCAGAACTGAATTTCTCACACTGTGAAATGACAGTACTAAGCTAGTCAACATCATCCTGGGCTGGGGATAAGCTCATTGGTAGTGTGCTCTTCCAGCATGCACAAGCCCTGGGTTCAAACTCCAACACCACCACCACAAAAAAAAAAAAAAAAAAAAAAAAAGAGAGAGAGAGAGATAATGAGATCATGATCTTAATAGTGAAAAGGTCACATTAAATTGTGAACTTGTGGTAATTAAAAATATTTTTGAACTATATCAAAGTCAATTAGTATCTAACAAACTGAATCATTCCAAGTGAATATAATGAGTGCCCCAAGGACTTTGCAAATCAGTGACTCTGAAACACCATTACTTACTAGCTAAGTTTATGTAAACAATTAAGCTACTGTTAAGTCGATATTCAAAAAGTGCGGAGTAGCAGCTGGTAATTAGTTTTCAAGTTCCTTCTTTGTCAAACTGTGAAAATGCAGAAAGATACTGATGCAAACATTTTAATCATTTGTAGAATGTCTTGTAAGATAGTTATCTGAAGCATAAAGGCATGTCACACTCTAGTTATGTGAAAGCAATGAACTCTTTTGATTTTCACCTGGTGCTTAATTTGTTGTTCATTTTTCATTTAGTTCTCAAAAAAATATATAGTTGCAACAAAGGTGTCCTTTCAAATTTTAGTCACTCCTTACTATTCAACAAACTATTTTCAATTACCATTTAGGACTTTAAAGAAGTTACATTACTAGGCCTCCCCAGTGATCTGATTTTAAATTCATTCACAATCTCAGGAAGGGGAGTTCCCCCAGGTAATTCTTTTGTACTAATTTAGAATATCCAGTAGATAGTACCTCACTTTTCTCCCCAGTTAGTCTTCTCATGCAGTCTAAGTTCTCCACACTTTCTCCTAGCAACTCCAACTGCACCATTCCCATTCCCTATGACAAGATAAACTCTTCTGGGATAGAACTGTGGCTCAGTGGTAGAGCGCTTGCCTAACATGTCTGAGGCACCAGGTTTGATGCTCAGCACCACATAAAATAGATAAATAAATAAAGTTTAAAAAATTAGAAAAAAAACCTCTCCTATTGCAAAACAGGCCTTTTAAGTACATTAATTCATTTACTTCATTCCTGAGATTTATTTATAATCCATTTTTCAAGGACATGGGGAAAAAGGCATGAAAACAAAATGGAATGGTGTAGCCAATCTCTAGTGTCATCCTATCTCAGCCTGCCATCTGATTGAGCAATGTTAACAATTTTCTATTTAGCATACAGGAAAGGGAAGGCTGAAGGTACTGTGTCATCTTACATACAATATTACTAACCTCATCAAGAAACTGGCTTGTTGTACCAGTTAAGTTCTAATGCTAATTTAACTATCAACTGAAGAAATTTAAAAAGCCACTTTTACATTAAATCAAACACATTTCCAAATTCTCTGAGCTCTCATATAAACAGCTAATACTGAGTTTATACAGTTAGTTGAAAGAAGTCTATTAAGAGACAAACCCTTTACCTTTTTTAATTCTGGAATTGCAGTTGATGAAATTCTAGCTATATTTATTTGTTAATCAGATTTCAGTATTCAGTGCAGTGTGATGTCCCTTACGGAAAACTAAGGTTTATCAAATTTAAAACCAGAAATAATGGTTCTAAACTTTAATTTGAGCACACTACTTACTAAGCCAGGATTCAAACTTGCTTCTATATGAAAAGAAAAAGCAGAGGAAAATATGAATTCTATTTGTAGGTTTTACCAGCTTTATCCTCTTCAATCCAGTCTTGTTCATACATTGTGCATAGTCCATAGGTTTTCTGCTGGATACAAATAATCAGCTGCCATATATATATAGTACTTTTCTTAGGAGAGACACATTCAATGGAATCTCCGATAACAGCTAAATCTTTATTCCTTTATAAAGGTTTCCCTTCTTTTCAATAACACTGGTAGACCCTATTAGAATCCTATTTCATTTCTCCTCCTAACCCCTTGAGTTAGACTATTAAAAGCTTAAATGTGGGGTTGGTATCATGTCTCTCCTTGGTGCTTGCTTAGTACTATAATCAAAGCAGAATAGAGGATCAAATTACCTCATACTTTTTTAAGAGAAACTTTTGGTTAAAAAGGTGCACTTAGAGCCAAAGACAGTGACAGAATATTCAAACCAGTTAAGTTAGTTCCATGACCTTGGCAGAAAGTTAATAAATTATAAGTACTTTCACATCAATCAGCAATGGAAATTAAAATCAAATATGGAAAAATGTCATTGTTCTTTCTGAATTTTAATATTCTGACAGCAAATAGGCTACTTCTGTTGTTAAAAAAAATTGAAACAGACCATTTTGCAACAATATATATTTAGGAACAATTTCTGCAAAAATAAGTTAATAAACACAATAAAAGAATTGAGTGAAAATTATTATGTATTTTTGAAACTGAAGAGCCAAATACTTAATGTGGTGCAAAACCATCTATTAAAAAGCCCAGTCCACTTTGAGACACACAGATGAAAGACTACTTAAAATTGTCTACAAGTGTTATCTAACCACAATTAAATCCAACATCTTTATTCATAATCCCCAAATTCTGAAGGAATAACTGAATAGTTCTTGTCAGTTTATTTCTTCAATACAAAGTGTTTCTAAGATTTCAGCAAGAATAATGGTTTTGGCTTAATTCATTGTAATGACATTAATAAAGGATCTGTCTAGAGCTGCTGGATCCCAGTCAAAAGGCTGCTGAAGAATGCTTCATCCAAGGAATCCTCTAGCATCTCCCATAACTGGACTTAAGTCAGCATGCCAAGTTTAGGACTGATGAGGACAAAAAGTAAAGGAAAATCCCCTTTTATAGCAGACACTTTATATTAAAAAAATGACAATGGTAAAGCCATGATTGTATGATCAGTACAGAAGAGAATAAATCTTAAAAAGCTAAGCACAAATCTACTTCAATTTTGCTACTCTACCCTTCTCTTTTTGTAAAATAGCTTACAGGACATGCTGGACAGCATGACCTTTAAATATGGAGAATATTAAATTTACTAAGTATATGTCACTCAAGTTTATGAAAATTCTGGACAAATCTGTTGTTTTAGAATGATTCTGTGGTTAATTAAGCTCTGTTTGGAGGCACAAATACAATTTATTTCAATATAATAGTACTTACCAAATGAAACAAGGAGTTTACATACTTATCAAATGTTTCATCCCAAACAGCGCAATATAATGATGCTCTAAGACATACAAAATTAACTTAATTTACAGTATTATTGTCTATTATTGTCAAACTTGATTCAACAGAAACTTGAAAGCACATCATATTTGACTAGGTCAAACTACTACTGAGTTCAAATAATTGATATGGAAGTATTTTGGTAAAGTGCCCACAGTGAGAGCAGTTTAAAAAGCAGCCCCTGTTTTCTACAGAAATTGTGACAGTGAACACTCATCACATTCTCTGCAATATCACAAAGCACTCACACGAATTCTGGGGAGTGATACCCTGGACACACAGCTTATTTCACATTAGTGAACAAATCCAAAAATTTTTATAACAGTTCTGACTTTCGGCCAGAAGATAAAATATCCCATATTTACATATGTACAAACCCTAACTTCTAACCTATTAGTTCTAAAAATGGCTTTTTGACTTGTTTTCAGAGGAAAAAGTGTACAATGCACTTGTATTTGTGCTTCTGAATTAAGGAACAATATACATTAAGTGGAAAAAAAAAAAAAAAGCTTGGGATGGTACTATCTACTTAAATTATGTACATGATCTTTGGATATTTGAGAGAATCAGTTTAACTGACCCTTGCCTTAGAGCAACTTAATTTTCTAAAGTTACCCAGGAAATGTATTCAACCATTTATAAAATCAAAACATCTAACATGTACTTTATAAAATCATGATCTTATTTACCTGCCTATTCTTCTACAAGATAGGTATACATTAAAAAATTTTGCTCAAAAACATAAAAATATATATTATTTCTTTGACATTTAGGCATATAAATATTTTACTGAAGATGCATCATCACTCAATAAACAAATGCAAAAACTGCTTTATAAAGTGTAGTTCTCTGCTAATTAGCAATATAAAATACAAAATGATTACAATATAATTAACCATTAAAGAGCTAAATTCGAGAGATTTGCAAACCAATACAGCAGTGAATAGCCCCTTGTACAAAAGTCCATTAAGAAAAAGTCAATTTTGTAACAGATTACATAAAAATGCAAGCCAATAAATGCATTATAAATGCAAAAGAGAGCACTGCTTCATCAGCACATTCTTCAGTCTTGTTTGAACTAGATGCCAAACTTACTGTTCACTTTTCGGTTCATCTTGTTTTCCATTAAGTTCTTGATCAACTCTGTTCAACAAAATATACAGAAAATGAGGTACCAGTAACTAAACAAACCTTTCTAAAAGTACCAATAACTACTTTTAACATAGAATATTATTCTGTTAAAAAAACAACAACAAAGCTGTGCAAAGAAGCAGACACAGAAAAAGATTACCAAACATTATTTCCCCATCCAGAAAAGAGAATTTTTAAAAGACAGGACACTGGCAAGAAACATGACTACAGTTTCTTTAAAGACTATAAAATACTTTACATACAAACTCATAAACTTCCTTAAAAGTTCAAGACATAGTGTGGCTGCAGCAGGGATTCAAGGGCTAAGAGATTGGCAACATGAAAAATAACTCCCTCAAAAAAAGATTTTATTTACTGAAATATGAAGGGAGATGGGGGTTTAGCTCAGTGGTAGAGTGCTTGCCTAGCATGCCTGACGTCATGGATTCACAAAGAAATATTAAAGTGTCACTAAAGCCACTAAATCATCATTAAATGATTATATGATCTTAAGTTCAGCAAAAAATGCAGGCTTATTGAAACCTAATCATTCTCCAAAATTTATTGGTACACTTAGTGAATGTCTTTCACTTATGCTGATAAAAAGAAACTATTAAGGATTTAAAACCAAGAAATACCTAAATGTACATTAAAAAAAATCTCATTAGAGATTAGTGGTTGTTTGAACAGAGGCACAATAAATATTTAGGCCCATGGAGATTTGAAGGATTACATAATTATTGCATAATTATAGACAACCCTTTAAAGACAATATACAACAGTCTATTACCCTCATATATGTAGTAATTTGAATAACTTATGTGGGGACATTTAAAATAATCTGGTATGATGCAGGAAGAGATTATCATACTTGTTTCCAGTACTATGATCATTAGGACCCATTACTATGATCACCTGAATATTAGTGAATCAGATCTAAAAGCTCTGGCCTGGCTGGGTTTGGTGGTACATGCCTATAAACCTACAGACCTGGGAGTATGAAGCAGGAGGATCCCAAGTTTGAAGCCAGCCTCTGAAACTTAGCCAGATCCTGTCTCAGAAATAAAAATGGGCTGGGGGTGTAGCTCTGTACCAGTACCAAACAAATAAAAAGCTGTGGCCTGTTGTAAAACTGGATTAACATTTAAAAATATTCTTTATAAATATTTGAAAGATCTGATAATCATAATTATTTTATTTTTAAGCTGTTGAAACAGTTTTACAATCCCTAGCTACCTGGCCACACTGGCACGGAGTTATTTGAAAGAAACACCTGAGACATTTAAAACTGCTGTACTTCAATACTCACAATACTCAATACCCTTTTAAACACCAATACTTAACATGGAGATATTGCCTTACATAAGGTCTCATACCTAGCCATTATTTTGACTTTAAGAACATTTTTCTGTATTAAAATTGAATTTTATTATTCTCAAACTGATAATGATTTATTATTTTTTAAGGCTAAAGAAACTCTGTATAAAAATTAAGTTACTTAAGATATATGTAATATTATTATTTAAGGTTAGACACAAACAAAGGTGAAAAACAAAATCAAAATAATAGTAATAGATTTCAAACAATGCATTTAAATAAAAAAGTATGAGTCCCATTTTTTTTTCTGCTACTGAAACTACATGACAGTTGATTAAACACTAAAAACTTTAAAAAAGATATCATACAGCCCATTTCATCAACAAAAGCAATTCATTTTAAAATCCAGGAAGTAGCTGGCTTCAAAACATTCTACAATTATAGATTTTATTTTAAATTCCAGCCACTTGTCCGGCAAATGCAAAGCAATGCTTAAGAAAGGAATGAGAAATCAGCATGATCTACAAACACTGCCCACACTCTTGCAAAGTGTCATAGAGAAATTAAACCTATGACTCTATCACATGGTCAACTGAATTCTCACCAAAAGAATGGAAATATATTCAAAGTTAAGAATGTTCCAGTACGTTACTTATAGCTGGATCCAGTTTAGCTTGTCAAAATGATTAATACATATATGATAACCTCTCATCTTAATTCTGAAGATTTATTAAACCATGTTTTGCTAATGTAAATATTTTTTAAAAATCTATAAACAAATTAGATCCAAATTAGATCTAATTAGATCTAACAAATTAGATCCAAAACCTACTTTTCTAAACTACTTTATAAAGTGGTAACTATTTTATACCTTGCCTTTTCATCTTCTATACCAAGATATTAACAGATAACAGTTTGTTATGCTCAAAGCAAAAGTATTCAAAATTAAATTTAAAATGGAAAGCAGAGTGTTTAACTGTTAAATGGTACATTGAACTTTTAGGTATTTTACCACATGTAAAATTTGACTGGTTAGCAGGCTATTTAATTTAAGCATACAAGGAAATCAATGTTGGTTAGCTAAAGAGTATTTGCATTGCAAATATAATCAACCCCAAGAAACAAATTTGATTACTTAAGAAAGTTTGCATACATATTTCAAAGCACTAAGATTTAAAGAAAGGAATGAAACAGATAATCTTAAAAGTATTGGTTATTTTAAATAGCATTCTCAGTAATTTCTGTGGTTTCACCAATAGTGTTCAGATCAGTAACAAAAGAAGAGGGGCTTTAATTACTAACTGGCATTATATTTGGTATTAAAACAGGGTGAATCCAATCATATTCAATTTTAGGACTCTGGATTTTCTATATTTGGATGTTGGGGTGTGTTTATATTTACAAGTGCTATTATCTTTCTCTACAAGCTAACCAACCAATAAAGAAGAGTTAGTCTGTGCAATGCAAATGGACTAGTCTAGATGCAACCCAGTCAAGGTGTGCATATACCTTTTTTGTTTCTTTTTAAACTTTTCTTCTTCATACCTTAGTAAGGAAGAGTTACTTCAGTAAATACACATTATGAGATTAACAAAAACTTAAACAAACAAAATAGACTAAAAATGAAATCATATTAAGTCTCCAGGAAAGACCAAAAATACTGAACACATTATGTAGAAGGTAAAAATTAACTTAATAAATCTGGCATAGACATATTAAAAATACCAAACCTCAGATTAGACTTATACCAATTCTTTTTAGAAGCTAGATGGAAATAAGTGAATCTGGTAAACAGAACAAATTCCGGTCACTGCTAAGTATTAGGGTTAGGTTGATTTAATTAATAATTTATTTATTTATTTAGCAATGTGATTTTTCAAATGCTATGATGAGTTTACTCAAATTTGGAGAGCAACATGTTTAAGTACAGGGAATGTTCTTTAGTACTAACCTATCAGGAAATCATCTCTTAGATTGTAACCAGTCTTTAAAAAGCTGTTATGAAATATGTGTAGTAAGAAATACTGAAAAATATTATCTTACACATCAAAATATAAAGATCCAATACAACTAAAGGAATAAAACAAAACATACTGTTTTATGCATTCTGGTATGCCAACATATTCCATGGGAACAAGTTCCGCTAGTTCTGCCAAATTAAAGACGTATCTAATTTTTTGGCTGAATTTCGAGCTATGAAAAAAAATAAAAACAATTACCTCAGTATTTCTGACTATGAGTACTGACAAGAAATTTAAATAAGGAATTTTTTTCTACATGACTAAAACTACCTAATAAATGGTCTTGTAACAGCCAGGAGTGTTCTGATAAACCAAGAGGGATGCACAATAATTAGGGATTTTAGGTTTTTCCGTAACCTAGAAAAAAGGAAAAGAAAATTATAAATTTCCTACAAATTATAATGCTTTTAAAGACATATGCCAGTTTATACAAAATAACTGAAATATATCATCTCAAAAGTTCTCATTTATGTATTAATACTTTTAAAGACAAGAAAACATTCTTGAACTATAATGGTTCCTTCTACTGCTATGAAAAAAAAATTATTTCATTTGGCCAAATTTATGTATATGTATATATGTATATATATATATATATAGTATAGAATGTTATTAAGTGTCTCCTAGCATTCATTCACTGGTCTTCAGAACTTGTCAACCAGGGAAAGACTAATATAGAACATAAAAAGCAAACTATTTTTCTTTTTCAAGACTAGGGAGAAATTGGTACTAATTTCTTCAATACCATGAAAGACTCTGTGCAGGCAGAGGTGGGAGGAGAGATAACTTAAGGAACACCATGAATCATATCTAATGTGTACACTTAAGGGCTAACATTGTGACTAAAAGTTAAAGACATTATACAAGACCTCTTTAAACAACCAAATTAAAATGTTTATTTATCGGGCTGGGATTGTGGCTCAGTGGTAGAGCGATCGCCTCACACAGGTGGGACCCAGGTTCGATCCTCAGCCCCACATAAAAATAAAGGCATTGTGTTGTGTCCATCTACACCTAAAAAAATTAATATTTAATTAAAAAAATGTTTATTTATCATGCATATTTCACACATAAAGTGATCATCAAATACATATATATTTATTTAATTACCAGTGTGAACCAATGCCAAATTTAGGTACCTATTAAAGCAATTGGAAGATTCAAGTTCCTTCATTAGCACAGACAACTAATTCCTGAGATAATATACTCTACGTATATTTTGGAGTTTGTTCCAAAGAAAAATTAGAGCTAAACTAGTATCTTTAAGGAACATAAAACATACTAAGAAGTATAAATAAGGCAACACTCAAAATTTAACAGGAAAAAAACTATGTTCTCCCTCTTTTCCCAAGACGTAAATTGTAGTAAAGTGTTTTAAATGGTATGAGGGATAATAAAGTGCAATCTTAGCAGTTTGTTTAAAGAATTATTCTTTATGGCACAGATCAAAATTAGTTTACTACATGACATTGGGAAATACTGTCTTTAGAAAATAGAGACCTATTATGAAATTAACACTTAATTTAATAAGTGGCTATAGTATTTTTTTTTTTAAACTCTGATACCAAGGATTGAACCCAGAGGTGCTTAACCACGGAGCCACATCCAGCCACTTTTATATTTTTATTTTGAGATGGGACCTAAGTTTGCTGAGGCTAGCTTTGAACTTGTAATCCTCCTGCATTAGCCTTCTAAACTGCTGGGATTACAGGCATGTATCATTGCACCCAGCAAGAAACAGAGTATTTTTAAGTGGGAATCAAATATAAAACTTAACTGAATAAAGCCACCTGTAAAAATTATTCAGTTTTTGTTACCTTCTATCAATTTGCTGATAACATTTTCTGAGCCAACCCAGACTGGGCATTTTTCTTCGAGTTGTTGCACCATTTAAATAAACTATCATGTAGTTTTCTGCTACTAATAGCTCCAAAGTGCCAATAACATACCTGCAAAAATAAATTAACTTTAACTCTTAAATATCACTGTGTAAAACTGAACTAGGTTCTACAAATTATACAGTTCCCTTCTCTCCCACTTGATGAGAACAGACATAATTAAAAATTTAAAACTGCATTAGCTGGCATTATAATTACTTAAAACCAAGTTATTTTTTAGATATAAATATTGAAATATTTATAGATTAAATGACATGATGTTTGGGATCTGTTTCAAAATCGTATAGTGGGGAAAGAATTAGGAATGAAGTCTAAATTGGTAATTGCTGAAGTGGGTGACTTATATATGAAGATCTCATGTACTTTTCTGTATATGATTTAAATTTTTCACAAATACATTTTAAAAACTGCACCCAGAATAATCTCAGAAATAGAACAACTCTTTGGAAATGTAAGAAGTGAGTCAGCTCATTACATTAGGCTTCTGTGGGTAAATGTAATTTAGCCATATGATTCTAAGATGAAAGTCACTTTTTTATATTTATATGTCCTCAGATGTTTATAAAGAAGTTGGAAGAGATATACCTTCTAATTTAAAAAATGCCAATCTTTTTGTTGAGTTGGAAAACTACAGTTTCATAATTCCAAAAAGCAATGCCTTAAAAGAGTCAGAAAAGGGATTGTTTATAGTAATTTTTACATAGCTTAAGTTCACTTCCTTAAACTAGAGATCCATTTAGCTCAGAATTCTGTCTAAACATTTTAAGATATACTTACTTAAAGAGATTGTCCATCAGGTATCTATAGTTAGGTTGACCACTTTCAGGCATAAAACAGACAGCAAATACAACAATGGCATTTAATCCATCCCCATAATATCCTGAAAAAAAAATCAAAGACAAAATCACTAGAAAAAAAATAAAAACAATTACCTCAGTAAAACAATTTTACTCAAGATTTTTTTTAGAGGACATCAGTATGATTGATAGAAAATAATCAATTAACACAGTTAAAGAGCCATATTTTAGCAAGTAGACAAATAACATGATATAATCCAAAAAGACTCAACATCTGAAATAAACATTTTATGCAACTTAACAGTTAAAGTGGGTGTTTTCTAAAAGTTAGTTTTATTTTCAACAATGCCTAATGTTTTGTAGAATTGAGGGGATCAGAACCAAGAAAGAATTATATCTCTGACATAATTCTCAGTGGAAAAAAAAGGTACTAATGTGTTTCAACTGCAATATTTAAATATTAAGCTGTATTCAGTAACAATATTTTTGTTTTAACCATCATTTCTATTGTTTCTTAATATGAACTGAAAAGACTGAACATTTCAAGAACATTAGAATCTTCACTAACTTTCCTAATTCCTCAATTACAAAACACATTACGTGTAATTGTCCAATATAATTATTTTCCTGTATAAAAAATAAAGTGCTATTTTTGAAAGATATTAGGTTTAAATCATAAGGCAGGTCTCACAACTTTATTTCTACCAATGAGCTGAATTAACGCATGTTGGACTTCCTGATTCAGATTATCCTGTTTCCTTCATCTGAATAAGATTAAATTAGGCAGAAGAATATTACTGCAAATATTCAAGTGATTTGCTTTCAGATGAATGAAGATTGTAGAAATAAGCAGGGGAATGCATTTGGCAGAAAGTAAATCAAGCAGAAATGATTCTATGTAGAAAATAAAATCAGTTTGTATGTCTCTGTCCAGTGTTAGGAGGATTTAAAGAAACAAGACGTGCTCTATAGAATGATTTGCATTCTGACTTTCTGGCACTATTTACACAGTACCTAGGTAAACTTTTATATATGGTACAGTCAGACCGACAGGAACTTGTACTTTCCTAGCTGTCCCATTTGACTAGAAAATCTCCTAAGGGAAGGAACTAAACTTTATTATTTTTGAATACCCCATAAATATGCAACATGGATGCTCTACAAAATTATAGAATGAGTTAGTTCTCTAGTAAAGCTAAATGGTTTGTTAAGGGCTTTAAGGTAAATTAGGAGTTAAGTTTACTAATATCAATCCAAGTTTTACTAATATCCAAGAAAAAATTTGTATAAGAATGTTCACCAACAGTCATATTCATAAGCAGTCTTATTCATAGTCCAAACTGGAAGTGATACACATGACTATCAAAATGAAAATGGATAAATAAATTTAATTCATTTATGCAATGGGCTAGTATTTGGCCATATAAAAGAATAAACTATAGCCAGGCATGGAGGTGAATGCCTGTATTCTTAGCTATGAGAAAGACTGAGACAGAAGGATTTCAATTCCAGGCCATACTGAGCAATTTAGTGAATTGTAAGAGTGTCTCAAAATAAAAAATAAAAAGGGCTAGGGATGTAATTCAGTGGTATAACATCCTTGTATTCAATACCTGATAGGGGGGTAACAAAGAAGATGTGTGTAAGAACATGAAGGAATCTTAAAAACATGCTGAAGAAGAGTGGTAAACAAGAATGCATACTATTTTTTTTGCATAAAATTCTAGAATAGGCAAAACTAATCACAGGGGTAGACATTAGAGTAGTGGTTACCAGAGAGGGGGAATTCATTGGAAAGGGTTATTAAGAGAATTTTATGGGGCAATGAAAATGTTCTATATGTTCAGGAGTGGGCATATGTAATTATGTAAATATGTGTCAAAACTCATTGAACCATATATACTTAAGATCACAGCATTTTATTCTATGTAAATTATAAATGCATACAAAGGGGAGAATTAATAAACTCCCTGTTTTAGGTGGTATAGAGATAGGGGCAGATGGGAAATAGTTTTCACTGCATTTATTTTGGTACTTTTTGAACTTACTATATGCATATATTAATAATTTTTAAAAATTAATTCATTTTGTTACACATGACAGCACAATGCTATAAATTATAGTTCATATTACACATATAGAGCACAATTTTTTATCTCTCTGGTTGCATATAAAATATATTCACACCATTTGTGTCTTCATACATGAAGTTAGGGTAATGATATCCATCTCATTCCACCATCTTTTTTACCCCCATGCCTCCTCTCTTCCCCTCCCACCCCTCTGCCCTCTCTAGAATTTGTCTATTTCTCCCATGCTCCCCCTCCCAACCCCACTATGACTCAGCCTCCCTATATCAGAGAAAACATTCGGCATTTGGTTTTTTGGTTAACAATTTTTAAATGTAGGTTTTATCCTTTTACTTCAAACCTGTTATGTTCTTAAAACAATATGAGAAATATTTATTATGTTTTCAAAGTTATGCAAGATCTCTGGGGATATTTTCTGAAAGCATACAGAGTTCTGATGTTGCATTAAAAAAATCTGAACAAACTTCAGTAACTTTTACCTCCATGACTGATAACTTTTTTATAGGGCTCAATTGCCTTCATATCAACCCTGTGATCCTGTTCTCCAATCCTGAACATACGCCAGCGTCGTCCATCTTCTTTTTCTTCTGCTGCTGAATATTCAGTGATTGAGCCTTTCCTAATTACTTCTGTTGTTTTGGGTTTTGGAAGATCATCTGTCAAAATAAAAGGGTTTTGAATCACAAATTGTTATTTCTATAATAAAAATCAAGTTATAAGTTAACCACTTCACTATCTAGATTAGTTAGAGATTTCTTTTTTCTTTTGAGATGCGGTCTTTATTGTCCAGGCTGGCCTCAAACTCCTGGGCTCAAATAATCCTCTCCTGGGCAACTGGGACTAAAGGTGTATGCCACCATGCAGAGAATTTTTGCTACACTGTCTGTGGAATTTGAAATATCCCTTCCATAATACAGGAAAAGGCTTGCTTTTAATTTAAGGCCATTTATTCCTTTGGGAATCACAGTTTTATAAAACTTTTTATTGCCCAATTCAACAAAGACAGTTAATCACAGTGCAATGTCTATCAACAAGTTCAGGAAAAACAATTCATAGAGCCATATGAGTCTTTAATACATTGACCCTTCAGGCATTTTCAGATCTCAATTATGATAGCACTGTCCAAACAGTTACTACCACAGGTTACTTCAAGTAACTGAGAGTTGATTTCTTTTTAACACATAAATTAATTCCTCCAAATTGTAATACCAGATAGAAAGTGGTTAACTATTCAATAATCATTTCTCATTTGATCAGTTTTATGAAGCAGAAAAGTATTTATAATATTAAGAAGAATACATGCAAAAGTCTATTTAAATTACCATTAGCAAAAGCATAAGCATCAACGATTAGATGTAATTTATATTTCAAGATTGCAGTAGCTGATTTTTAATGAAATAATGATTTTCAAAATTTTAGTATCATAGTCCTTACCAAAAGATGGGGGGAGGGGAAACCTACTGCATGTTAGTTGTTTGTTTCCAAGACAAAGCTGTTAACGAAAATATCCTTCCAGGAAATGACTACAGCAGCATTAAAGAAAGAAGAGACAAAACACATAGGCAGAAAACTATTTCAGTATCTTATAAAATATTGCTTGTTACTGGACTGCTTATTGAACCAGTAAAACAGGGAAGAAGAACAAAAGACACAGCATATCACCTTCACTGCAGATAAAATACCTACCGCTAAACACTGCTTTGAAAAAAAAAATCACTTTAAAGATAAATAGATATAAAAATTATTAACTATATAAAAATATGTAATAAGAATTGTAATGTATTCCACTGTTATATATAAATAAAAAAAAACAATTATTTAACTCAAGAAAGCATGCAAAATAAAACACATGCCAATTCCTTTGAATTCTAAATAATTAAAATGATAAATATCAGGTTTGGGGGCTAAGAGTATATATTAATTCAAGTTGGTAATTTCATAAAGTAGAGCACTACCCAGGCAACCTACTTTAAAATCACCCTCCTAAGTCTCCCTTCAGAACTTCCTCTCCACACTTTTAGCACATTCCTTATTATATGTCTCTTGGAAGGATTTTTTTCCTTACTTGATCAACTGAAAAAGACCTAACTATCCAGCAATATTTTTTTATGTTGATAAAAAGAAACAAAAATTGGGCATCAAGAAGAAAATACAGCTACATATATAATCTACTACAAACAGTTTTGAACACTATAAAATATTTAGATGTTTGCAGAAATTTTAACTTAAATATATGAACACTGAAAAGAATAACATATTTTGAACAAAATCCTCTAATACATGGGTTTTAGTAGGCTTCATGATAAAAATTTTAAGGCTTATCAAGTATTTCCAAAAGAGAATATAATTGCAAAAACATGTGTTTGTGTGCTTATATATATGTAAAGGTAAACATTCATTCATGAAAAGATCAGATATGCAGTAAAACAATTACCTTCCCACTCAAACTCATTACTGTTCTCTGATGGTGTGTCTAAACCATCCAAGTCAATCTCCCCACTTTCATCCAAATCATCTGACAACACAGAGCCATCACCCGGATCCAGTGTCAAGCTAATCTCTGGAGCCATTAGTTTCTTTCTTACTTTATTTCCATTAACTTCTAATAAGCCTGAAAGTGGAAAACAAACACACACAACAATAGTAGAAGGAATGCTCAGATGATCAAGTTAAAAGAGAAACACTTCAGCCACTTTATTCTTGAGAAAAACAATATTAAACAAAATCCCCAAGCACTGATTTATGAAACTTGAAAAAAAATTTTTTTTAAACTGTTGACGGACCTTTATATTTTTTTTTATTTATATGTTGTGCTGAGAATTATGAATCCAGTGCCTCACATGTGATAGGCAAGTGCTTTAACCACTGAGCTACAACCCCAGCCCAAAACTTGGAATTTGATTACTAATGCTATTTTTGGTAGTACTGGGATTGAACTCAGGGGTGTTCTACCAATGAGATTATTTTTATTTTTTGAGAAAGGGTCTCAGTAAGTTGTCTGGTCTGTTATGGAATTTACAATCTTTTGGCCTCAGCCTCCCAAGTAGCTGGGATTACAGGCATGGGCCAACCTGCCCAGTTTCATCACTACTGCTTTTATATCATTGGCAAGAAAACAGTGAGGTATATATGTCTTTTTAAGTAACAGACAGACTTCGCAGTCACCTTTACCACTAAAAAACTATTTCCTCCTACTTGTAAAAACTTCTAAAAACTGAGGATTGTCTTTTTTTTTTTTTTGAGAGACAGAGAATTTTTTAATATTTATTTTTTAGTTTTCGGTGGACACATCTTTATTTTATTTTTATGTGGTGCTGAGGATCGAACCCAGCGCCCCGCACATGCCAGGTGAGCGCGCTACCGCTTGAGCCACATCCCCAGCCCTGAGGATTGTTTTTGAGGGTTAAATTCCCCATGCACTTCAAAAGTGTTTTCCTCAATGTTCAATTTATCCTTTGGCTCCTTAGGATGGAGTAAAAGCTCATTGTGGCGTTTTTTTTGTTTTTTGTTTTTGTGTTGATAAAGAAATATGTTAAAAATAACACCAAGTCCATTGGCAGTACAGGTATCAAATTCTTACCAGGCTGGCTCTCTGGTCCAGTTACATCTAGTATATCTGCTTCAATACTATCATCTTCTGGTAAAGGTCTGGAAGACACAAACATACTCTTTAATGCAGAAATTAAAATTTTTTGAAGCTTAAAGATCTGTTAAAAATAAAGCTTATAGGAACAATTACATGGAAAACAGAACAATGCTGTTTCTTAAGATTTGGTAATTTACAAATCAATTTTTTAGAAAATTCTGTTGGGGTTACTTATATGTCTGTGACACATAAAAGCATATTCTTTATTCAACAGCTCTTATCCAATTATAAGACATAAAAATTATTAAAAAATCATAAAACGATCCAAATGGATAAATATGATGTGGTGCATGATCATCACATAACAAAGCTACTTGCTTACTCACAATGAGAATATGGTAATGCTGGCTACAATCTGTTTGAGTTTGGCATTTCCAAATTACTATCATCATCATGTGCTAAAATGACTCAGTTCTCCCACCTGCTCCTGCTGTCCATATGCCAATTGCTAAGGTACCTTACTGGGTAGTATGTTTTCTGATCATGATGGCACAAAAAGCATCATTTAAATAGAAGGCCTTTCTTTGCAAAGTGTCAAAGGGGCTAGTCAGATGATTCAGAAGATCCTTGTTTATTTATTTACTAAGTTTTTTCTTACAAACAACTTAAAACTCCCTTCTCCTAGAAGCCTCTCATATTCGAGTTCTAAAAATCCCACATTAGCATGGTAATGGAAGGAGACCCTCAGGGTTATACAGTGGAGGAGGTAGAGAGACAGGAGGGGAGGGGAGGGGAGAGGTGGGGAGGGGGGAGGGTGGAGGACGGGAAAGGCAGCGGAGCACAACAGACACTAGTATGGCAATTTGTAAATCAATGGATGTGTAACTGATGTGATTCTGCAATCTGGGTATGGGGTGAAGGTGGGAGTTCATAACCCACTTGAATCAAAGTGTGGAATATGATATGTTAAGAAATTTGTAATGTTTTGAACAACCCACAATAAAAAATTAAAAAAAAAAAAAGATTAAAAAAAAAATCCCACATTAAAATATTGTTCATTAGACAAATATTTTGAAACTTAAATGATCAAAACAGTTAAGAAAAATAAAAATTACTTATATGTTGAGATGGAAGAAGAGAATCATTCCCAACTACTGCAAAGGAACTTTCAATTCCCAGTATTTAATAACCACCTTGTTAATACTATTTTTTTAAAAAAAACCTAATATTCATTAAGCAACATCTCAAAAAAAAAAAATTCTGAAGTTTTGTTCTACATTTGTTTTCATCAAAAAGCAATGCTCACATTGGAAAATCTTCATCTTGCCATTCTTCTTTCAGTTCTACACCTTCCATTCTCAGCCTGGATTCAATGTCAACTATTGACTCCTGATAATCCAGAGAGCCAATATCCTGTGAAAAAAGAAAAATTGACAATAACTTAATTTCCACTTCACATTTTTATTGGCTGTAAAGGTGCAATCTTATACCTTAGTATAATTTTCAGTTGCATATATGCAAATTGTGTCTCAAATTGTGATTTAAATTGCGTTAAAAAAATTGAGGTAAGATAAGAAATTATAGTTAAATACAGGACTGGGTGTAGTTCAGTGGTAGAGTACTTGTCTAGTATGCCCTGGGTTCAATCCCTAGTACTGAAGATAGAGCTTGATTCTAGAAATTAAACACTAGTAAACAATATTTATACTCAAAAGATTCAGCAGAGTCAAGTAGTATGCTACCATTTATATTTTCTTTATAGTTTTGATGCCACAATTCTTGAATCAGTCTATTTAGTAACTTGTCCAGTAAACAGAATTAGGCTAACTTTTGATCTGCTTCATATGTATACCATGTCTTTTCACACAGTGTAACTTTTCAGACTGAACTTAGTGGTATTTTACTGTAAGCAATTATATATTTTAACTTGTGTTATAAACTTTTATTTTAGTTTTTTAACAAAGGGCATGAATGCCCGCCCCCCCCCCCACTCCGAATCCTCATTTTACAAAGTGAGGAGTCTACAGATCCTCCCTTTGGTTGATGGAGTAAGTTGATAGAGTACAGAAGTCATGAAAAGTGGCTGGTAAAGAGTGCAACAAAAACAGTGACAAATACAGGCAATGAGGTATATATAAGTATTTAGCTCATTTACATTAGAGTGAATCAGTAGATGAAGTTATTTAAAAAACAGCAGTAACATATTTCTTAAGATCCATGGAATATGACTAGAAGTACTAAAAACAAAGTTAACAAGTAGCTGATGCCAGTAGAAGAGGAAAGAGGGTGGTATGGGGAGAAAGATTCATAACATAGCAAGTCTTTACTGTTTTCATAATAAGCCTTTCTACACTATTTGATTTTTTAAAAACTATGTGTATAATTTAAAAAAGTACTTTTCAAATAAAATAAATGATACCAGCAATACCAGTTGTTCTTCTAAAACAAAGATGTGGTCTTGTTTTATGTTCACCTTATGTCATTACAATACTCAAAGAATATAGTAAAGTCGTACCAAAAAACAGCATTATGTTCCAGGACAACAAAATTACAATGGAGATTTCTTAAAAGTTTTATTAAACTTCACATGTTAAACTAAATTCTGTTCTCAGTCAAGACTGAGAGGGTCTTCCCAGTACACATCCAGAGGAAGGTTTCAAACATTCTCAAAAGGTTTTACATTTTTGAAGACCTACTCACTGGCACAGAAAAAAATGGCAGATGCTGACTTTTCCTCACAAAAATATTTGCTTGGAAAAATTAGTTTATTATGTACAGGAATAAGGAATTTTTAATTCTGAGAAAACAATGAGCCAGGCAATTTGGAAAAATTAATGGGGAAAAAAAGACTTAAAATACAATGACCTTGACTTATTTAGCAGTTTCTGTTTCTAATACATAATCTATACTGTATTAACATCCATTTTCAATGATGACTTTATAGATTTTGTTCTGACAATAATCTTTCTCTGTAAAGGGGATGAGAATCAATGGGAGTGGGGGACACAACTGTCTTACCAAACAACCCCTTCTATTTATATAATGAATTGAAAAAAAGACTAGTTTCTCCTAGATGGTTAAATTGCTAGATATTTCTTAATGTTTTCTCAAGTCTTTGGTACTTGCTCTACAGTGAACAAATATATTTCTCTAAATTCAATATAATCAGAAATGCTTCTCATTATTTTGTCTCACTTTTCTATAATTGGAAAAAATATTAGGATGTTCTGGGTTATCTTTCTCAAATAGTTCAAATAATCAGAAAATATTTAATATTTAAAAAATAACAGCAATGACTGAAAGTTGCAATCAATATATTCCCAACTCCTGGAACACTACTTGGCACATTTCAGGCCTACAAATATTAAGTGGAAAAATACTTAATTGTAAGGTATGACACTGGATAGAAAACTGTTGTTCAGCCTTAGGTTTATTTTGCTTGTTAAATAGGATTCTTGTTATGTTTTACCCTTCAAAAATGTAGTGAAAATACTTTGTAGGAACCCACATATGTGCAATATAAATTTCTGTTGGCAAAATTATTCCTTATTTGTAAGAAGAAATATTTCTATTGTGAAACTCTAGAAGAAAAACCAAGTCTTGTAGCTAATTTACCACTTGAACAAGCTTATCACTTGCAAAACGCTCCTTTAAACAAGAAAGCCAAGTCTTTCAGTTATTTCAACCTACTTATTCAACTTTTACTCTAAAATATTGAATGATGTAATGTTAATACATCTCAGTTATGTTGTTATGGACATTTAGTTTGATGGCTAATTAATTAAGCTAGTTCAACAGAATATGAGAGTGAGAAACATGATTAACTCCACCTTTCAACAAGAACTTTAGGAGAACAGTACATTAGGTAGATAAAAACAATTTCAACAATTCAGAGTACTGTTCTTGGAAGCACTTTATCACCAAGCAGCTGTAAGAACAGGAAACAAACAAGAAAGGAGTTAATGTAAGCACAACCACTTTGAAGGAAATCAGGATACTGCTGACTCACAAGTTAACTGTGGTTGTTTCCCATTTTTTGTTCAAAGATTTTTCTTTTTTAAAGGAGAATGGGGAAATAATACTTTACCATGTTACTTGTGAAAATAACCTAATACAAAAGAAATAATCTGATTTCTCAATAGATTGGTGGTAGTGATAGCATATCCTTATTTATGGTAGGTATCTGTGGAGGTCATAATAATGAATTTCAGTCTTTGACATCAGTGAGATTAAAAATCAAGGAGAGAATGGATTTCCTTCTAACAGCTTCAGAAGGGAGGTATGGTGATAAATCCAACAAAGATAAAGAAGGGAATTTCCACGCATAGCTGAGCAAGCAAAAATCAAATATTAAGATCATATTTAGAACTGTATAGACTATAACTTATAATTGTACTCAGCAATTTTACTATTACGTAGTTTAACACTGCTTCTAGAATAGGTGCAAGTAATGACCATCTCTGCTGAAATCAATTACAGCTCGCAGAAAGAAAACCCAGATAAGTCTTTTATTTACCCATTTAAAAGAAAATGTTTCATTCTAAAATATTGGTATTCACTTTTTAATGAACAGCCTGCATATTTATGAAGACCATTAAGACATGCCTGAAAAAATCCTACGTGTTTGCCTGCCATTGCTCCCCTTGGGATCAGGTAGGTTTCTAAGAATGCAATGAGATCTCTATCAGAAATGTTAACACAAAATTTAAAGAAAAATTGTGGAGTGGTGTTGACATTTCACATAAGTGTGGAAATAAAGTGCAGAATAGTTATGCCACCTACATTTACTAAATTTTCAGTGTGCAGAATATGCTAGAGATGCTCTGATACCTCTAAAAACATTAAAATCTAACACCTGTTACAGAGTTATAATTTTGGTTATAATATAAAACTATAATTTTGAAATATTACTATTCTGCTTCATAAGATGTAAGGTTAATGAGATACCTTTTTATCCTGTCAAAGAGAATTTATCAGATGTATGCATGTGTGTATACACATACATATATATACACACACACACACTCTTACTATCTGGATGCCTTCCCCCCTTATCACTCCATCAGCCTACAATGGATACAATGGATAGAACAACTGTCCCAAAGAGTGCTTTTCACATTTACTAACCACTTTTGTTTTTTCATCTGATATGTTTCAATCAACAACTTTGTAAGGTATAAAACATTGGTGTTATCATTTTCATTTTATCTTATTTATATGAGTCAAATGACAACACACCCTCCTTCCCAGATATGGACCAGAACTGTTTCTATTATAGCACAATGTCTCCAGTTCACTGGCAACTTTATACAGAATAAATCTGTAATGCCAGATTTGGTTACACTTGGCTTCAAAAGTCCTGTAATGCCTAACAACCATAATAGTTTTTTTTTGTTTTGTGATAAGCTAGTAATAGTTCCTGTACATGCCCAAGATATTAGGCTGCACTAGAAACTATTATGAAGACTAGAATAAGAGTTTAGAGAGAATGTAAAATGACAAGATCTAAGGAGAAAATGTACAATATAACCAAAAAACTACTAGTTTACAGGAACTTAATTAGTAATTTCGGCTATGACTTCCGAAAGCTTACACATTCACAAATTACATAATTTCTTTTACAATTGCAGAAATTTTTATAAACATTTGGAAAGATACATTTAACTGAAAATACGAAATCAAACATTTGGAAAAAGAGAGCCTAATTCAAACAAAGTTGAGGATGAAAAAAGCAACACTAAAATGCAAAGACACACTTCATTCAACTAATGGGAGGCACCATTGACTACCTTGATGGAACACTACAAAAGCAGTGCCCTCAGAGTTGCCAGGACAGACAAAGGAAGTTTCAAAGAAACCTAATAAAGACCCAAATAAGTTTCTGACTTAATATGACCTGGTCTAATAATTATACTTCGGGAAAATCCAAACCATTTTTTCCTAGATATTTAAACAAGAAAGGCGTGGTGAAAACACGCAGGACTCAGCTTTTCATGTACACACCTATATTTGTTTTAGCTTCCCAGAAGATCTATTTAAGCCCTGGTTACTTAGGCTGTTTCCGTGTCTATCCCCCGAGGGTATGAGGCACACCAGAAGTCCAAGTTTCTTTGTTCTGCACCTGGGCCGACGCTGGTCATAAATAAGGAACCAAAGTTGTCAGTCAGCGCACCAAGGCTGGGGTGGCGGGGGGAGTAGAGAAGAGGGACGATTCCATCTCAGGGACAACCATCAAACGGAAAAGCAGGAGGCGGGTGGGGGCAGGGAACGGGTGTTGGCAACCGCGAGCAGAACCCAGGGCGGGGACCTAGGCTGGGCGGGGATCCGGAAAGCACCTCCGGGGCAGGTTCCGAGGCGTCCCCTACAACGCACACCCCACTGGGTTTCCCCTCCCCGGGGGGCGGTGGGCACACGCCCCATAGGCGTACGCCCCCAGGCTCGTTCCCAGCCCGGACTCGCAGTGCCGGGTCCTCCCAGGCCGCACTAACCCCGGAGGAAGCCTTGGCCCCCTCGTCCTCTTCGCCCCTCCAGGCCGGCGACGTGGGGCTGACGGCCAGGTCGCAGAAGGCGGCACCGAGCGGAGCCCGCTCCCCTCGGTCAGCGGTAAAAAGTCCAGCCCGGTTTCCCGGCCGCAGCTGTAGAAGAGGCGACAGAAGCTGACCCGGACGCAGTGAGATGCCCCAGCGGAAGTGACTACCTCCCGGCCTTCTCTAGGCGCGGCAGCAGGCGGAAGCGGAGGCGTGGTGTCATTTTGAAACCCACAGCGTCGCCCCGCCCCCTGGGCGGTCGCAGGCTTAAATTAACTTGTGCTTGCACGCCCTGCGTTCCAGCTGGTGGGGCCGGTGGCTAGGACGCACCACTGGACTCTCGGTGCTTCCTCTCCTTTTGGTGTTAGCTGGGACGCTGGCTTGCAGTTGCGACAAGGCATTTTTTTTTTTCCTGCTTGTCTCTATTGATCGTCACAATAACTGTGCATTACAAAATGGATAAAGGGGAGGAAAAATATCCGATGCTTCATTTTGGAGAGCTGGACATTAGAGGAATCCTTAGAGTTTGGTAAAATTCCCCAGTGTGAACCGCTTGACAGCAGTGCTTCCCAAAATGTGGGGAGCGAAGCCAGCCTTAACTACTTAGCGAGGCCCTAAGCTGCTCAGCGAGCACCCCGTCTCTTAAAAAGATGATGATGGTAATAATAATAATAATAATAATAATAATGCTGGTAATGTGGCTCAGTGGTTAAGTGCCCCTGGGTTCAATCACGGTGGACCTCCACCTCCCCCAAGTGTGGGAAGCAATTAGTCTTTTTTTTTTTTCCTAGTTAGTTGTGGATCAGACTTTGATAAAACAGAACAGAAAAGTTAAAAAAAAAAAAAAAAAAAAAAGACCCGCACAAAATCCAAGTCAAAACATTTTATTATTAGAGCACGGGACATAAAGTTACTTGTAAAAATGTCGTGAAGGATCTCAATTTCTATACGTTTTTTTTTTTTTTTTTTTTTTTTGCTGTGGACCAATAAAAAAACAATTCTCAGAAGGGGTGAGGTCTGTGTACCACACTCAGAAGCAACTGTCAGCTGGGATGCCGGCCTGATTCATGGTTTCAAGGAAATGAGATTACTTTGGAGAACATCATAATCCCTCTCAGAAGTTTCATCTACTAAATCTATACAAAAGTCCAGCGGTCTACTATTTGGGCAATTCTATTAGGAAATGAGAATGTCTGAGAGGAACAGAAAAGTAAAAATTCAAATAATTGACCCAAAATGCTGTTGACTAGATTCATGTTGCTTTGGCAACATTTACTCGCTGTTGGCAGTTAATTAACTCTTCTGTGCTTCATCTACAAATGGGGGGAAATAATGCCTACTTCGTAGGGTTTTTGTGAGATAAAGTGATTTGTAAGAATAGTGGTTGGCATGTTGTAATCACATATAAGCATTAGGCATCATTATCATCCTCCTAGTAATTTCCCTAAATAGCTGGCAGAGAAAACAAACTAATCAACAGAGCTTTAACTAAACAAGTTGGGCCATTTAAGAAATTTCATTCTTTGTTGCAGATTTTTCATAATTCCAAATTTTACTTTGTTTTGTAATGTGCAGAATTCCCCACAGGGTGGCAGAAAATTATTTGAAACCATGTAGAATTACATGTTTTTGTGATCTTTCGTTTCTTCTTCATTTTAGTAACTTAAGCATTTAAGCTTTGATCAGTGTTTGGTTTTGAGTAAGCCATTATCCTATTTGTCTTTTCCCCCATCTTGATGAATTATCCACATGTATTGTTGAAACATTAGAAACTATAGGGAAACCAAAATAATAATCACTATTAATACATTTATATATATCCTTTCACATTTGTGTATACATATAACTATAAACTACATATGTTTTCATAAAAATATGGATAATGTACTAATAGTTTACAATGTTATTTTTTCCTTTTAAATTTTTTAATTTGTTCTTTTTAGATATACATGACAGTAGAGTGTATCTGGACATATTATACATACATGAAGTATAACTTATTCTAATTAGGATCCCATTCTTGTAGTTGTACATAATGTGGAGTGTCACTGGTGATATATTCACATATGAACATAGGAAAGTTATGTCCAATTCACCTATTTTCCTTTTCATATAAAAATATATCATTAACTTCTTTTCAGGTCAATAATTATATTTCAATATCATAATATTTATTATAACTTATTTATTAGCAATCTTTTATGGAACATTTTTTTACAGTTAAAAAACATTTCTTGGTGTGTTCCAAAAGTTGGAAACATAGGATTAACTTATTTTCAAATAATAATTATACTTTGAAATAATATGCTCAATATACTTTTCTTCCACTTCTTACAAGAGTCTAACGCAATGGATCCAGTTGTTGATCTGAAAAAAAAAAAAAAAAGAAAGTTATTAAAAACATACTATTTTCCCTGTATTTTTAGACTTTTGGAACAATGTTGAATGTATTTTTAAGATTACTTATTGTTTCTATATGCCTTCTTAAATATTTAGATTCTTAAAAAATGGAAAAAAAAAGATTCAGGAAAAAAAGTATGGCTTCCAGACCTTAGGTAGAAGGTATCACTTAGAAAGTGGTACGTTAGCTTAGAGCCGCCATCAACCTTTTCCTTTGTGGTTTCTAGCTTTGGTCTTATGTTTAAATAGGCATTCCCCACCCTAAAATTATACAAATAGTTACTGTTGTTTTCTTCTGGTGGTATAATAGTTTCTATTTTTTACATAAGAATATTAAATTCAATTGGAATTTTATGTATATGCTTGTAATATGAAAAGTGGAATCTGACTTTATTAAACTGACTGGTTTGCCTAACAACATTTATCAAAGCATCCAATAATTCTTGAACTCAACTAGGATTCAGCCAAATGAATATTTACTTTCTGAGATGTCATTTTAGGTTATTCACTTCTTTAAAGTAGCCAGTCATTTGATAGATTTTTATTGAACAATATTATAAGTCAGTGCTGTTGGACCCTGAGGATGCAGGAAAATAAGACCCAGTGTCTACCTTCAAAGACCTCAACAGACTAGTATGAACGAGGAGCAAATGAAGATAATAAACACTTGGTGGACTGAGGTGACCTTGGTACTTCTAAGGTACACCTAAATGAATGGAGTTAAACAGATGGGAAGGAGAAGAGAAGAGTAATGTGAGCCTTTCTGAGGGAAGAGATCTTGAGCTTAGTGACAAGAGAAATTCCCGTTTCAGAAGGAATGGCCTATGCAGAGATTTCTAGAGACTGTACACTGTTCAGTTATAGCACAAGCAGTGGGAGAGTGGGTAGTTGTGAACAGACCATGATGAAAATGGGTTGTCAAAGACCAAATTAAAAAGAAAATTTTTAATGGTAAGGATTTAATTCAGAGCTAATATAGTGAGCAACATGCAAAAGCAATCAATCATTATTGTATAATTACACTCAGCAAGAAGAGATTGAAGGATGTTTCTGTGTAATGACATAGTTCTCCTAAGAGAACAGCTTTGAGGGGAGCAATAGTCATTTGACTACGTGCTCTAGTATGTATGTTAAGATTGTTCATGATTTCTTGTCATACTCCATACATAGAAATAAAAGCACTCAGCCAACATCAACTTAAAGAGATATTGAGTCTGTGCCAAGAATTATGGGACGTGATAAATGGTAAAAGGTATCATATAACCTATGCTAGCAGAGAATGACGTTATCAGACTCTGGGGAGAATAGGTCCTTTGCCACCTTTTTAAAAGTTAGAATGACAACAGTGTCTCAGGGTGACTGGTGGAGTGTCATTTCTCTGGGAAGCTGTGTCTGCTATTATATACATGTTTTCTTTTTTTAAAAAATATTTATCTTTTAGTTGTAGGTGGACACACAATATCTTTATTTCATTTTTATATGATGCTGAGGATCAAACCCAGTGCCTCACACGTGCTAGGTGAGTGCTCTACCACTGAGCCATAACCCCAGCCCTATATACATGTTTTCCATAGGGAAGAACCACTGGTAGCCTGGGAGGTATTAATTACTACACACATTTTCTTTTCTTTTTTGATGATGATGATGATGTGTTGGCAACTTTTCCACATGGAAGCCATGGACTGGGTATATATTTTATAACCTATTTCCATTCTCCACCAGGCCCACTCTTCCTTGAAAGTATGAGAATCTTGTTCTACCTTCTGTGCAACACACAGATTCTTGAAAGTATGAGAATCTTGTTCTACCTTCTGTGCAACACACAGATTCTTGGATAGCTCTTTTTGCTTCTTTGTGCTTTGTTATTCCCATTGCTACTCCTTCCTCCTTCATCAAATCAGTCTCCCTGCATCTCTTCAACATTAAGAAATTTTGATGTTCTATTACTCTGTACTAAGAGGCCATGTTGTACTCCTACAAATTGTTTTGGTAAATAATTAAAAGGGCATCTCCTTACGTGGCTTTGTCTGGTGTTCTTCTTTAAGTCCTGCCTGACAGATGACACAATCAAGGTACCTAGTAAGAGGAGAAAATTCTTATCAGGGTTATTGCTAGCCTATGGTACAATTTTATGCAAAATAGTCATCAGAATCCCTTCTGTCTAGATGAAGCACCTTGGGGCATGGTTGGTGATCTGAATGCTACCTTTTCTAATTCTCACATATACACTTTTGCATAAATTTTCAAAATATAGTCTTTACTTCAGGGCAGATAGAGCCTTGCTCCAGAACATGCAGCTCGAGAAATGGAGTGGTCCTTCAGTTGAATGCTGCTCACCTGCTTACAACCTGCTCACCTAAACAGACTGGCCCTAGTTCTCCACTAATATCTTGGAATTGAATGTAATTCTTTTACAAAAGAGCTCCTTTATTCTGTTAATAAAGCATTTTTTGAGGATTTCTTCTGAACATGAAATGCAGTTTCTGGATACATTCATACATGGTACTTAATAATTGCTCACAGAGCTTTCTTCTCAACCTTGACCTGAGATAAATGAGAGATGCTGAAGAGTAAGACATTTGAGATAATACTAAGAAAACACTTGTATAAGTTCAAATTTCAGAAGGCATAAGATGCATTAAGTAAAACTCTTGCATGCTGCTTTCTAAGAATTTACGGACCATTATTCTTGCTTATAAGCATATAAATTCAGTAGTGTTTGGCAGCTCACTCATAATTTTTGAAAAAGCACCACATATCTATCTTTTTTACATGGAGTGAAGATGTCTTTGCTAGTTAAGCTCGAGGGTAAAACTGGATACAATTATATATTCAT